TCTGTGTACCCAGCTCTGAGAAGGAAGAACCGGAAGAAGCGCAAGACGCGCCTCTAGCAGCGTGCTGTCTAGCCATGCAGCTTCCAGCTGCCTCAGAGAGTCCGGCATCTGATCCAAAACAGCTGTTCCGAATAAAGCTCTTCGCAGACTACTCCAGAAACTTGCCTACGACAGGCCCTAGATACCCGAAGCCCAAAAAGGAGACTTGGCAAAGAGCATCCGGGCCCCTGATTTAGTGGCCTTCACTGCGTTTTGAAAAGCTTTCCGCCTACGGCGCTTCTTCTTGACCCTACTTGAGACCGTGCGCATGGACTGGCAAACTTTGCCTGTCGTGGCTCCCGCTTGAGGTGTCTCCACCGCTTCAAGTTTAGGACCCACCATACAGACGTTGAAGCATGGCAGCGGAACTTCAGGCTCTATCGCATGCCCTCGCGGCCATGCCACCCTTCGGCCCCGAGCATCTGCAGGGAATCCTGCCGAGACGTCTGAGTACCGGGGAAAGTTTACGTCTTCATTCCAGCCAATCCGACACCCCAACGCATCAGGTCCTGTGTGGCTTCGAAGTAGCTATGGCCATCCAAAGCCATGGCGAGGTACGCCGCGTCGCCTAACCATAATCTGACATGCTTGATCGTTGGGGTGGGGGTGGCGGTGGTCAGTGCCGAATGCTTTGAGGATAAGGCTCTTTGCTTCATAAAGCGAATGTGCAACAGTTGTACATATTCAAGCATAAAACGCATGCACATTCATGTATACAAAATACGTGGCAACGCTTGCGACAAAGCCGAGTGCTAGCAACCCCCGAAGGCATCCACATCCAAAGCTTGTTACTACCTAGCGCTGACAGCTATGCCTATGGGCTATCGATGCAGCAGCCCACCAGAAGGATCCCTTCCGGGTAGTATAACGTGCGGGACTTGCATGTTTTGAATAGGTTAAGGGTTGAGGGTTTATAGGGTTTAGGGGCTGAAATGGGTAGATGATGACGGCTTAGCACTCCGACAAGCCAGCCGAGGTAAGTGATGCCTAGTCGGTTGAGGTGAAACACGCCAAGAGTGTTCGACTTCTTTGGGCTTCGGTTCTCGGGTTAGGTTTTGTACACTAGAATCAAACTATCAGAAAAAACATTGGTGAGGTTCAGGCTTTGTTCTGGTTTCAAACATGGGGGCCTGAGGGCCTTAATAATCAGAATAGGGTTTGGGGACAGCAAAATGTAGTGACGACAAGGCAATACTGAAGCTAATATTCCGACTTCTGTATTTTGGAACCTGCATCTGGCAGGCCGTGTCTTCAGGATTTCGACTCTCACACACGTCTGGTAGACCGGATTAGAGTTTTAGAGAAGAGGGCACAGGGTATGAATCAGGGGGTCGAGAGTAGAGCGCCCTACATCGCACATCTCCCCCCAAGACCTCGCCACTCCGGATTCCGATGCTTCTGCCATGTTGCTATAAGCCGCCATGCGCCCCTGAAAGTCCTGGTGCTGTTTTTTCGGAAAAGGTTGTCAGAAGTGGCTGGGATGGATAGGTGGGCAGCAAGGCTTCGAGAATAGCAGGGGTTTAACAGAGAATGCGCAAAGCATGGGAAGTGCATGCAAGGCTGCGACAGAGGCCGGTGGGAGTGCAAGTTTGCAAGCGTTCCCACAAGGCAGTACAACATCGCCAAGAGGCGGTCATCCCCTGGCAGGCAATCAAGCAGAAGCCGAATCGCGTAGGAGCTGTGACGATTCCTCGGTACTATGGTCTACTAGAGTATATCGTACTATACTGTCAGTAGTACATTGGTACTGTATAGGATAATTAGCCGCCAGTCATCTTAAAGTCATGTCCCTTGACTAGCCGCATGGCCAAAAAACATCGATTGGAACAACCACAGGCCAAACCTAACGGGCAATGCCCTCACCTTTCAGAAACTAACTGCCTGAAGCTACAGCAGCCATATACGCAACTTGACATTTGCAAGCTCCCGCGTGCCGGGCCTGCCCCGGTAAACTTGGCAAGAGCTCATCATCCCATGCTTTTATCGATCCCATGGAACACATCATTGAGATCAATTCCGCATTCGGTAGTGCCCATCTTCCGAGCCACGCAAGATTGTCCGCAAAGGCTTCAGTGCTACCTGAGGGGTAGCTTCTAACTTGCTCACTCCAAGGGATGGGGCGCTCAGCGATTCAGGGCGGGGAATTCTGGCATTTGGGGTCTCATATCCAAACCCCAGAACTCCGACCTCTTGTCCTGTTTGCATCCGGGCTATGGGGTCCGGAAAGGTTCAGCACAACCTCAAAGCTTGGACCCGTGAAGGGGGACCGGAGTTTCCTTGTATAAACGAATAAATATATGAATGTAAACAGACAAATGAATAGATTCCTAGGTATATATATATATATATATACATACATATACATGTCTAAATATTGACACTTTCGCAGCATCTGTTTGGGCGCCGGGCATTCGCGATGGAACCAAGGCAGAGGGAGCCGAAGTGGTACCTCGGCACTTTGGGGAGCCTCTTCAAACTGCTCCCTCATTTAGGGGACTTTAGTTAGGATTGTATAGAAGCTCCGTAAAATTATTGCATGAATGTAGGTTTACAGCGGTTGTGCAAACAAATTTGAGCACAGGTAGCAAGTGTCATCAGTGTCATCAGCATTTGCATTTCTTAGCACAGTGCCACCTCTAGCAAGGATGAAAGGACAATGACGACCGCGAGATACAACTCATCAGACGAAAATCCCTTCAAGCTACAAGCCATCAGACAATTCCTGCCGATCCCCGACCCGAGCATCTGTGCTGCAGAAGAACACAAGTGCAGACTTGTATGCCTCGGACGTCACGTAAGGAGGCACCTCGGACTGACAGAAGGGTTCGGGGTGCAGAAGCAAGAACAACAGACCTCAGTTCGGGGCATGGAACTTATAGGCCGGACAAAACAACCAGAACTATCCAGAGTTGCATCGTAGTCGTAGTACTAGCAAACAGCTAGAAGGGTAATTAGAGCCAAACAAAACTGGCCAGAAGAGGCAAGTAACAGGTTCATTAAAATCAAGCCGGAGAACACAACCTATGCATCTACTCTCGACATAAAGCCGCGTCATGCTTTCAAACCCAGCGCTGAAGGTCAGAATTGCCATGTTTTGATACGCAGTAATTACCACCCATCACCAGCAGAAAAGATGTGCTTTCTAACCTCCGTCATTGCTGCAGACGGAAAGTCTACCCTGAACCCTGAAGCCGCTTGTCGTCAAGTGCAGTTGTTGTACGGTTCATGAGGTTCGCAACTCTACCGCAGGACGAGGCAAGCAGTTCCATCAGTTCCCGTTCACAAAGTCATGAAACCTGGATGGGGTTTAGGGCGTCGGGCACGTAGTCAGTGCAAGTTTCTGGGGTGTATCCATGCAAAGAGGACGGGGTCTACACTGCAAGCAAAGACCACCCTTATTCTGCAATCCGGGAATGCCTGCTTTGTGTCATTTCTGGCGTCGTATGGGCTGAAGACAAACTCCTCCGTGAGGAAGCCTCAGCTGAAGGAAAGAGAATTGGAGTGCTTTCGGGTTGAAGGTTCTGTTTTCCACACGGCTGACGAAGTCAAGGGCTACAGGCCCATTTTTCCTTCCTACCTAGCTACAGGCCTATAGGGTTTGGGGTTTCGGAAGGACAGGGTAAGGACCTTCATCCGCGAAGGAAACAGCAGACTGAACCCAGGACAGCTTTGATTTCGCTTCGACGACTTAACCGCCGCCCTCCAAGCAAAAAGATGCGCCCACACAACAGGACAAAGCGTTTATGACGTTTAGGGTCTTTCCACTCTCTTTCGGCGCAGAGAAATGGGTGTCGGCTACACCCGTCAAACTGAGTATTCAGGAAGAGCAGCTTAAGAACCCGCTTGCAACGTTGGACCACTCGAAAATACTCTCGGAATGTTGCAGGCAAACGTTTCGCGAAGCCCGAACCTTTCGGACACAACTCGTTTCGATCACCAAGAGACCCAAAACGTAGCGCGACAGCGAGCCCATCACCTGGTGTCATGCTCGCGCATCTCAGTAGCCATAAGAAGTCCAGCTCCCTCTGCACTGGGTTGCTATGCTTACAATAATATCCACATAGTATAGGCTAGCCCATCATATGAGTCGCTGGATGATACAGGATGTAGGTTGTTTGTAGCTTCAGGTCTGTGCCCACGTCCGGCCTCCACGAGCCAAAAGAACACGACGACGAAAAACAGGGCCTCGAATGTATGACAGCATGCATTGGGGCGAGAGTTGCTTGCTCTTCTTGCCAAAGAAGAGAAGACAACCTCTTCGTCAGGCGGCCTTAATCGGAGATATATCCTTGTGTCGGCCAACCGTCTGAGTTCCCTGTACAATGAAAGATAACAGACGCAGGCTTGCTGCCAAGGTGCAACGAGTGCGAACACCACCTGACGTGGTCCCCAGCATGACAGTGCCAGGGAAACAAGCGCTGAGGTTTCAGGGCCTACACTAGACACCCATAGTAGCATTCCGTGTGCCATTTCTGCAGGGTAACGTGCTCTGGGTCAGGTTGTGCCTCTGATCCTAGTGGCTCTTCACCCATGAAGATACCGCCTTTTTCAGTTCGAGCCTTCGGCTCACTAGAGGAGTCTTCGTTGCAAATCGGATGAGGGCTTGAGACCCCGGGCTTTTCTGATGCCAAGCGTGGCCGAAATACACAGATGTGGCCGGCCAGGCGCAGCAAAACCTGGAACCTAGCACTCATCCTACTCTCCAGATCTGCAGTAAAACCCACCTAGTATACAAAGCATCATATAGCTCGAATAGACATACACCCGAATAAGGACCTAAGCTTCCAAAAGTACGCAATTAAAACCAGGCATGATGATAGCTGCAATTATCCGCGTCACCGTAGTTGTGCTGTGATCAGACAGCAAAATCCCGATCCAGCAACAGCACCCCCTCCTGTCGCCGTAGTACTGATATGCAAAAAGCCAAACGGTCCGCATAGAACGCGAAGTTGTGCTTACTCCTATGTGTACCAGGGAACCTCGAACGGTAAGGTTGGCAGCTTTTCGGAACTCAGTACTAATCCAAGCTGGGGCTCGTTGTCCAGCGCAAGTCTGAGGCTCAAGAGCCGCGACGCAGAAAAGAGGAACAGGCTCAAGAGCAGCATCTGCAGCGAGAACAGGCAAGCGCACCGTCAGCTACGACGCAACCTTGAAACCTAAGGCCCGGAGTTAATCTCAAAGCTATATGACCCTCGAATCTTCGAGATATCAGCCCTGTAGAGCGCATCGGCTTAGCTGGATGCACATGCTTTCCCACTTAAAACACAAAGACGAGTATACGCCGGAACGAGCCTTCTTCAAGGTCTCGACCATCGGCTGGATCATGAGGGGTGGCATATCCGCCAGACACTCTCCAGCCGCTTCCAGGTAAGGAAAGCTAATGCGGATGCCTTAGAGAGCATCGTTCCGATCTGACCCTGAGCCCTTCTTGCTAAACCGCTCATTGCCACAAGACTCAAGTCCCCAAAACCCTAAACCCTCAATCCTGAACCCCTACATTGAACCCCAGAAAGTTAAAGATGGATTTAGGATGGTTAGGGGGATCCTGCTTGACCTTAAGGGCATGAGGATTCTAATGTTCCAACTTTAGTAAAGTTGGAACTTACTATACCCTCAGAGCCATAATACAAATAATCCTGTTAAGATTCTCTTGGGTTTTGTATGAACAAAAAATTTAATTGCTAAGGAGACTATAGTTTATGGCTTCTACTATACACCCTCCAAACCCTCAACCTCTGAACCCTGAAGGCTTGGCTCGAAGAAGAACCCGCATTCTCAATCCTGATGTCATGGAATGTAAATATACATATATGTATATGTGAATATATATATATATATATATATATATATATATATATATATATATATATATATATATATGTGTATATATATATTCACATATACATATATACATATATACATATATATATACACATATATTCACATATACATATATATATATATATACTTATTTAATTAATTCTATATAAATACATACGTATATATGCATATATATATATATATATATACACATATTGTTTTGTGTATGTATATATGCTAACGTGTAAATGGCATTCATAGGTACGCACAAAACAATCACAACTATTGAACATGTCTACATTATATCATTGGGATGCTTTCTCTGCACCGATTCATTTTGCGCAGCCCTTCTGGAACTGTAGATTTTGCGTGTGCATGCTGGAAAATATTTTGCCTGCCTCAAGGATGCCTCCACTAGCGATATAGGTACTTCTGAGCTGTGTCAAACGTGAGGCAGCAAGAGGCTATGGCGCGTGTAGTAGCTTCCAACTGCTAGGCTTCCAAGAGTCGTGGCAAACTATTAGCCAAGCGCTGGCAACCTTCTGGTTCAATCTGATTTCGCTGGCCCAAGGTCCGAAACTTCATGAACACTCTGCAGCAGCTCAGCATGGAGCAGCTTGCTTGGGCATCATAAAGTCGTCACACAAAGGCTGCTCCCCTTTTTGCATCCAAGCCTATTGCTCCCCTAAACCCTATACACCCTAAACCAAAACGAAGGCATATCGAGGCTGGCCCCCCCCATTGAAGGCAAGCTGCTGTCTCGACTCCTCAAGAGCTTCGAAACACAGCAACAGGTCATGGAGCTGGTGGCAAAGGCAGTTGCAGAAGTACAGGTGCCGGTATACAACACCAAAAACGAGTCTGATACAAGCGAACTGAACATCATTACAAGTGTGGTCATGGCAAGAGCATTCCGGAAAGGTGTAGAGGCCATCGCCTCTCTGCGAAAGCCAGGCATATAATGTTTCTCCGAAACAACCGAACGCAGAGCAGTCAGACTTACAGCTCGTGCTGCCATTGGCCTCCATGTCTCCTTACGGAATCAACTGCCGGGATTGGTGCCGAAGTTACGGCCGATGGGGTGGAGGTGTCACACCACTAATCACTACTCTTCCGGTGTCGTTCGTTAGGCAGCTAGCGGTGTAGGGTCTAGGGTTTGCAGGCTACAGCTGGTCTTTGGTCTTCGTCAAGTCTCAAGCATGCTCCCAGGATGGTAAGCACGGCCAGTGAGGTGCCGACAATCCCATATCTCAGTGCGACTTGGATCCGGTTTGGAGTTCAGGATTGAGGGGTTTCGACTCGCACCCTCGCAGACGCAGGCACGGCTTCTGAGGGTTGAGGGGTTCCGGGGTTTGTAGGGTTTATGGTTTGGGCTTCTAGGATTCTAGGAGTGTAAAGTCTGGAGACCCGTGGGGGTCAGAACCTCAACTTTTTTAAGGTGCCACGACGCCTACAAAAGCTTTCTGATGTACACGTCCTGGGCGTGGAAGCCGCGCTGGGGATTGTCTTGAGAACGGGTCTGAAGCAATATCTGGGCATACAGACGTTTTCGTCGTGCAGCTGAGCCACGCGAGGTAAATCCATGTGCTTTGGGTGTCAGACTCATCCATTTCTGCTGGGGCCGACGGCTGAAACTTCCGGTTTCAAACTTTGGATCCCCTAAACCCTAATACCCTAAACGGCCCTAAACCCTCACTGAAAATTCGTAGACTGCCGAGCCGCATAAGGTCGCCGTTGGCAGCCTCAGGCTAAATGCAATTACAATCTGCCCTCAGCATATGGTTCATGTTACCGGCAGAGAAAAATGAGGATCTCTGACTAAATCGTGTTAAGTGCCGCGCACATTACTCTTCCTTCCTCATCCACAACTCGTGTTCTCTTGCTGCAGTCCAGCATGTATCCGGCTCTCGAAGGCATGCTTCCGCTGCAAGGCCCATGTGGCGTACTCTCCCGCGGGAATGTTGTGCAAATTTTGGGCCCATGGGGTTGGGGGGTTGGGAGTCTCGATTGTGCTTTTTCTTCGTTGCTTGGGTATGACTCCTGGATGCTCTTTCACTGTTGGGGCTCTGAGCTCGAGAAAAACAACCCTATTTTAGCACCGGGTATATTACTACTTTGTTACGTTCTTCTCATTGCCAAAGCCTTTATTCCAAGTCTTGAAAGAATGTGCGGCCGATACGGTTGAAATTCTTCCAGGCAGGTTGATGCCATGGACAAGCGGGCACAGTACCTAAATGAGCTGGCTCAACGAAGCCAGAAAGCCCGGCTTCATCCATGCGCGTGGGACTTTCATGCTTGTGTGAGGATTCCCTGACGCTTATCGGTTTAGTGCCGCCTGAAAGTCAAAGGAGTCCGGAACACAAAAACAAACTGAGGAAGCCCTATATAAATCTACAGTCCCGTTTTGCCTAGCTGCCTCGTCGTCCTCATGATCCTGATTGTTGCGTCTCCTCCCAGAGCACAGTAACTGACTACTGAGGTCTTCCAAGGGAGTCGCAGACTGGAGAACGGAAGATGCACAGCTTGTGAGACAATCCCGGCCCGCGCGGAATGCATGCAAGTCACATGCGGTGTGTTGAAAGCTTCCAGCAAGAGCTTGAAGTGTGTTAACTACACTGTTACTTGCGAACAACACAACGTTGAAAGCCGTGGTGCGTACCTCTCAGCGTAAGCTGAACTCTCACTCAATCCTCAACTCAACGGCACCAATGAAGTAGCCCCAGAATGGACACTCTGATGATGATGACGAAGACACGGATGATAAACATGACGAGGCAATAGTGGCCAAACCGAGAACCGAAAACCACAAATAGTTTGTGAAGTTGGGCGGCACCCGGAGGATTGAACTTCAAATGCCGTGTGCGGGTCCTGTCGTACTCTTGCAGGTAGTAGACACCCGCCACGGACAAGCAAGCGACCACGACAATGAAGCTAACCCAGAATACCCTGAGCGCATCACAGGTATCAGGCGGTCGGGTACGGGACTTTCAGTGGGGTTGTCTACTGTTATCATGTGCATCATGTATCAGGAGCTCTGATAAGGAAAGCCATGCCCCGTGGCAACCAAAGACCTGTGCTGTCACCCTGAGGACCAGGTCAAGACCCGAGTAATGTTTGCAGCACGTGATCTAATATAGAATTGTTAATATAGTATGCTACAACTATAACATTATGTGCTATAGTGCAATGCAATATAATGTAATGCCATGTAACATATTACCATGTACAACTTATAATAACGTATAACGGGGCTACGAAACTTCGTAGGGCCAGGAATGCCGCCACACCATTGCCGATGCAACAAACAGATTCCCCTCTTCCGCAGACCGCTTCTGCATGGATTACTTGCACGTCTTCGGTGATCCTACTCAGTAGGAAAACCCTGAACCCTAAACCCTAAAGTAGGCACCAAAGCTTCAATTGCAGTCAAGGCACACCTGGGCCTCTGCTTTGAGAAACCTTCCGGTGTAGAAGGCAAGGAGTTTGGACTAGGACTTGCAGGGTGTCGCAGATCTCTGGTTCAGAAACAGACGGTTTATTTAGCCAGCAGCCACCTGCTGTAAACTTCTAAGCGACCTGCACCTTAGTAACCCCAAATCCACTATTCAAGTCAACGGGGTTTTCAACTCCACAATCAAAAGAAATCAAGGCGCAATGACAAGAAATAATAAAACGTTCCCTCTGCAAGCTCAGCTGCCTGTGCTGGGATACTATACATCGGGAAAGCCACATTAGCAGCAACCTACTCTACACCTGAGCTTCGCGGGACCGGTGCTTGGCAGAAGACATGTGACTTAAAGGCTTTGGCTTTGAGTTTAAGATCTATCGCAGACGGGCTGGTTCAGGCTCGGGGCCGCGACAGGGCCTACTGCCTCAAGATCTGATCTCGAGAATTCACAGAGTGTCGGCGCTCACACGCAGAATTTCAGGCGGGGCATGTGTCCATTGGTTCAGGAGAAGGAATGAAAAGGACAGCAGCAGCGGAGCACGTTGTGCTGCGCAAGCTTGCGAGGAAAGCGGTGGGCACTTCTTGCATCGGAGATAACATCTTGTAATAGTAATTAGTGGAATGTCATAAATAATATACATTATACATAGGGGAGAGGCGCTTGCATGCAAGACCAGGGCATTCGACCAACGGTACACAACCCACTAGAGTACTGAAAAAGCAGCATGGATCCGGTAGAGAATCGAATACCTGCTGGTCCGAAGATTCCATCTTCGCCCCACTCACCGCGGCAAGCAGAGAAGTTCAGACGCTCAGAACTTTTCAAGTCCTTAAACCGTGCTAGGATCTGCGTCCCCGGTCACTCGTAGTGCTGAACAACCAGAACAATGGTGTCCGACGCCTCTCGCATCTTTGCCACGAGGTCCTGGGATTGGCCGGTCACTCCGTTGACGGAAACGATACGGTCATTGACAGACACGGTCTGGTCCGGATTCTTCTCGTTCCAATCCTGCACTAATCCCGGAGCCAAAGTCGCAATCCAAATTCCGTAGGAAGACTTCGCAAACTTCACCGTGATTCCCAGCTGGCCGGGCTTGTGCAGGACCAAGTTCCTCTCCATGGCCTTCTGGAGGGTCAGCGTTGCTTCCGGCCCTGCATCAGCAAGCTTCCTGTGCACGTTCTCACCTGTCACAGCCTCTCCGTTCACCTTGATGATCATTGCGGCCGTCTTGATCTGCTGGTGCTCTGGGGCGTTGCGGTTCCAAACGAGGCCAGCTCCCGTAACATCCTTGATGATGGCCTGGTCGTCGTTGGCCGTGTCGACCACCAAACCGTGGGAACGACCCTCGTAGCGAAGCTTTGCTTCAAAGATGCCGGATTCCACCACAACTTGGTCGGGCGATTTGTCCAGCACCCCCTTGGCCTCCACCAGCGGCTTCGAGCCCAAGTCAAGCTCGGACTTGTCCGGGCCAGCACAGCAGGCGGTGCAGAAGGCCATGATGCAAACGCTTGCGAGAAGGGCTTGGCCACAGCGAGCACGCGCGCGTACAATCGAGATCTTAAGCCCAAATGGCTACGGCTACGGGCCACGGAGTCTAGAGTGAGGCTATAGTATAGCCATAGGCCGCAACCAAACATACGTAGATCATCGTAGATCAACATCTAAGCGAGGTAAGTACAGTTTAACACAGGGCAGCTGCTCGGCTGAACTGCAAAAACCTGGCAATCTAGATCCTGCGAAATGGGTCCAGAATTCACGCCGTCTCAGATAACATGACTACTTGCCACCACCCTCACCATTTTCAGAACAGTCGTACTAGCAACGAAAATTTCAGAGCCGTACTTTACGGATGACTATGCATGCTACCTGTCCCGCACCAACAATAAAGACAATCGCAGCAACAGCTGCAAGGCAAGCCAACACAAATTCAACATGCCACGGGGTTGCCTCAAGTAGGCGAAGCCGATCGCCGCGCTCAGCCTTACAAATCTGCGCTGTTTCCTCTTGGGAGCTGGAAGTGTAGATGCTACGGGTATTGGATGAGAGGCGAGTCGGACGCCGAGCCGAGAACAGGCGGGGGGCAAGTCAGGAACGAGAACGAGCAGGAGTCAGGAATGGCACGAGGTGGAGTCGGCCAGAACGCGAGGGCGCAGTCAGGAGCAACCCTAAACCCTGAACCCCCCAACCCCTAAACCCGACTCGCGCGGGGGGCCATTCCCGACTAATCTCCTGGACATGCTTGACTGGGCGTTTGCCTGTTCCGGACTCTCCCGTTCGGGACTCACTGGGGGCAAGCCTGACTCGACTAACTTTCTACAGGTATTGAGAAGAGGCGAAGGGAACCCGCCTGGTCCCCGCGCGCGGCCATGACAACAAACGGATGAACCCGTGGCTCTGAACAACTAACCCAACCTGTGATCACAAGTCGCTTGTCGCGGGCTACGTCGATGTGTGCCCTGTGCATTGCTAGTGGTATCGCCGGATGCATGCTTCCATCCTTAAAACTGCAGGATCCCATTATCTGCGATTGATGGCAGCGCATGAGGACCTCAACCGAAATACTCTTGTGTGTCGAAACTCTGCTGGTGACTCGAACATCAGGCTTTGACGGTTCGAAAACACTACTCTTTGAGAACTGCAGAGCACCCAAAAAGATCCAAAGCTCCAGAAGCTCCATAATAATAGAGGGGCCTTAACAATTAGAACACTGTGGGTTTGGGAGCCCATTATACTATTATACTAGAGTTATAATAAGGAACCCCCAAAACAGTATAGGTAATTATTCAGGCTCGTGTATCATACTATAGGACTTGGCACTCTTCTCTTGGCCAAAGTCGCAGTGGAGCAGCGATAAGCAGCAGGGGCCAGGCCCGAAAGAGATTGGTATACAAGTGGGACAATGCAATGGCCTTGGCTGCTCAGGGTGTGGGCGGTTGACAGAGGTTTCGTTTAGGGCTGAGGGCTCTGGGCTTCGGGTTGCAGTCTACATAACGAAATGCCTCCGCAAGCACAGCTGGGATCGAGAAGGGGTGTGTGTCATCAGCTGAGCAACTTTTGGTACACACAAATCTAGTAACATTTACAGGAACCCGTGTAGCACCCCTTACAGAGCCCTTATAGTACTCTTGACAGGAACCTTGCAATGAATGCGCTGATCGCTACTGGTGTCAGTCTGCTCATGTACTGCTGGACAAGAAGTCTCCTTCAAACTACTGAACTGAACCCTTCCGGAAAGTGACACCACTCAGCTCTGACGACTCCATCTTGGAGAGCAGGTCCGCCGATTGGCCGGCAGGCAAACAAATCTTGGTGGCCAAGCGATGTCACAGCACGGGACAGGACCACTGAAAGCATGAATGCCTTCTGAAATGAACGGATCCCATGCGAAACAAACTGCATGCGGAATGATGCCACCCACTGCTGTACATAGCTGGTACTGCGTATCACACGTCGCAAGTCATCCTAACAGAAGCGATCCACAAGTTCCCGTGTGTGCAGTGCGATATGGCAGGACTGCGGCATGCATTCTGCGAGGACCTGTCTGGCAGTGCATACAAATATGAAAGTGTGAGTGCGTGCGGACAAGTTCTTATGCACAGACACAGAAACGCTATGTACAGATGTGTATACGTCCATATATCCATCCATCTCTCTATCTGTCTAGATGTATGCATACTTGCATTCATATCTACATCTTACTGTTTACTGTAGACTGATCGATATGTCTATTTCTGAAAATGCACTGATATACCTGCCTACATACATACCTACATACATACCTATGTACGTTATGTACGTACGTACATACGAACATAACACACAAACACATGTACACATACACACATACATGCAAAACACATTTAAACCAGAAAGCAAGTATCCATTTTGAGCGAGAGAGTGGCCTAAAGACAGGCTTACATGTGAATATTATGTGTGTGTGTGTATATAGATACATATGTAATACGCACATAGTCATGCAGACATACATACACACACGTACATACACATAAAGACATACATGCATACACATGTGTGAATGGATGTCAGGTGCTCTGTTGGAATGTATTGCAATAAAATGCATTGTATGTAAAACATGAACTCTAATATTTAAAGTGCACTACATTACCACACGTATAGTACAATACATTATACACTACATTACTTACGCTGCCGTCGCTGCAGCTTGCCACCAAAAATAACCAATGACGTGACAGCAACATCAGCAGCAGCAGCATATTATTAAGCAGCAATGACGACAACAACAACAAACACCTACTGCTGCTGCTACTACTACTAGCCAACCCCACCCCCTTTTTAACTACACTTGTTCCATCCGGGCTGGGCAGCGGTAGCTGCTAGGCGCCTTAACTGCGACAGCTGCAGAAGATGCACGGGCTCAAGCTCCCTATCTGCGACAGCTGCAAAAGTTGCAAAGGCTCAGTTTCCTTAACTGTCACAGCCGGTGAAGTTGCAAGGGCTCAGGCCCCAAAACTGCGACAGCAGTCGGAGTTGCAAGCTCGATGGGGAAGAAACTGCTAAACCGCAGGTGGTCGGATAGTACGAAAACGCTCTAAATACCGTGCAAAACCCAGGTGCTGCCAAGAAGGGTTTCACATTTCTAAAACGTGAAGCGCAACATCTTCTAAACATCCAAAACAAAGGTGCCAGCTGTACGTGGGAGGGGCTCGCCAACACCCCTACCGCCCAAACTCGGCGTAGGAGGGTCTGCTTTTGAAGTGGTGTGTGTATGTGTGTGTGTGTGTGTGGTGTGTGCGCGCTTGAGTGTGGAAATATTGTTGAGGGTGTCCGCAAAACAGTGTCGTGATCATCCCCGAAGAAGCTTTCCCCCAACCAATTTCGAGTTTTTTGAAAACAGTTCGAAACAACAAAGTTTGATACGCATAGTCGAGAAGTAGGGGCTCAGAATATGTAACAAAGTCCGACATCACGAAAGTACTGTAAATACGGAGTAAAACGGCTCTTGTGGTGATGCTGTTGGGTGTGTTACGCAACATCATCCCCCCCCACCCCCCCACCCCCGCCCAGAAGCAAGCCCAAAATCAAGAGCCCCAGTTTGCAAACTCGACAAGTCGATGTTGAAGCCTCTTATGACGATCGCACATGAGGAAAGTGCCGTGAATACCGAGATAAAAAGATGTTCTCTTAACATGGTGAAGAGCAAGTGTAGTTGGTAGGAGGTGGGGGTGCCTACTACTACTACTACTACTACTACTACTACTGCTACTTCTACTACTTCTACTACTTCTACTACTTCTACTACTTCTACTACTTCTACTACTACTGCTACTACTACTGCTACTACTACTACTACTACTACAGTACTGCTGCTACTACTACTGCTACTGCTACTACTGCTACTACTACTGCTACTACTACTACTACTACGACTGCTACTGCTACTGCTACTACTAGCACTAGTACTAGTACTAGTACTAGTACTAGTACTACTACTACTACTACTACTACTACTACTACTACTACTACTACTACTACTACTACTACTACTACTACTACTACTACTACTACTACTACTACTACTACTACTACTACTACTACTACTACTACTACTACTACTACTACTACTACTACTACTACTACTGCTACTACTACTACTACTGCTACTGCTACTGCTACTACTACTACTACTACTACTACTACTACTACTACTACTACTACTACTACTACTACTACTACTACTACTACTACTACTACTACTACTACTACTACTACTACTACTACCCACTACTACTACTGCTACTACTACTACTACTGCTACTACTACTACTACTGCTACTACTACTACGACTACTACTACTACTATTGCTACTACTACTACTGCTGCTGCTACTACTACTACTACTACCACTACTCCTGCTGCTACTACTACTACTACTACTCCTCCTGCTGCTGCTGCTGCTAGTGCTCGTGCTAGTGCTAGTGCTACTGCTACTGCTACTGCTACTGCTGCTGCTGCTGCTGCCTGCTACTGCACTGCTACTGCTACTGCTACTGCTACTGCTAACTGCTACTGCTACTGCTACTGCTACTGCTACTGCTACTGCGCTACTGCTACTGCTGCTACTGCTGCTACTGCTACTGCTACTGCTACTGCTACTGCTACTGCTGCTGCTGCTGCTACTGCTACTGCTACTGCTACTGCTACTGCTGCTGCTGCTGCTACTGCTACTGCTACTGCTACTGCTACTGCTACTGCTACTGCTGCTGCTGCTGCTACTGCTACTGCTACTGCTGCTGCTACTACTACTACTACTACTACTACTACTACCACTACTGGTGCAACCGGTTAGACTACGCGAGAACTGCGCCGCTAGTCGTAGCTGTGGACATGCTGCCTCCGAACATGATTGCAACACTCATAAAGGAGCAGACGACAGTATCCCAAAGTCCTACAATTCACGGTTCATCGAGTCATGAGCTGGAAGCGGTAATCAAACACTCTTTGTGACTTTTGTGCAATTAGATAGGTACTGGAATTTGCGACCGGCGTATGTAATGCTTTGCACAACCGCAAAGGTATGATACTGGCTCATGAGCACAGTAGTCTGCTATAGCAGGCAGGCGGCAAGGGAGCAAAGAGCACAAACAAATAAGGGCCAGGAATAATTGTCATGTTCATAGCCTGAGGCTCCAAACATGTATCTGCCGCCTCCAACCCTACAGACCAATTGGCCATTTCAATGCACCCCCCCAGGATGGCTAGAAATCCTAGGTTAGATTGGTAAGGCAGGTAAAGTACTTGAGCTTGAGGTTATTCCCCACGAATTTGATCGCTGCAGCAAGGAGTCATTGGTTTCAGATGGGAGGGAGGCGTAGCCCTTAGGACATGGCCTCGGCTGCAAGGTAGAATTGTCAGGGGATGGGCTTTGCGGAGGTTCGGGATTCAGGGATCAGCTCTGTGAAAGCTTCCGTCATCCGCGTGAGCGTTGCAGAGCATGGGTACTGCCCCCACCCTGCAAGTATCTATATTCGAGGGCGTATTGTCACTGCCATAATAATTATATGTATATACAAACTTGTAGGTATTGTTTTGTTGTTACAGAATGGGGGCAGTATCCAGTGCAGAGCCGCCCACCCGATAGATACGAGGGTCCAAGTCTACGGTTGCCTCTGCGGTATAGCGTCTTGTTCCCTGGGTCACGCCGGGCTAATATGGGGGCCTCAATCATTAGAATAGGGTTTTGGGGCTCATTATGCTATCACAATACTAAAAATAAGGAACCCCCAAAATAGTATTGGTAGTTATCTAGGCCCCTCTCGTAGCTGCGGGCTGTGGTGAGCTTCAAGTGTAATCATATCGCACAGGCTTCATGAGCTGTTGCCCCTTTCCGAAGGGTGAAAGATATCGAAGTTAAGGGCAGTCCCCACCGTTCGGGATCGTGGCAATCCGACACAGGACACGGCTTTTGCTCACTGGCCCTCCATGTAGTTGATTCAAACGATTCCCCTCACATCGACAGCTACTACTACCTACGAGTAACCTGATATCGATTGAAGTGTTGAGGATCAATGTAGCAGGGTGGAACCGAATCTCAGAACTTCCTCGTATGGGGCTTCCGTATGCAGACCGCAGGGCGTTTTCTCCGAAGCCAGGCCGGGGCAAGCTTCGACACAATGACCCGCATTCATGAAGAAGTTGTTGCTTGCATCCTCAGCCAGCGTTGCAGTGAAGTGCCTAGGTGAATCTGCACTCTGCACTACGGAGCAGACAAACTTGACAAGAAGACTGACACATCTTCTTATGTAGAATGGGAGAAGATCTCCCACAGCTATCGCTTATGATCGCGGATGCTTTCCTACAGGCGTTTTCATTCAGGATTCGATTGACTTTCCGGGTGGCCGGAGACTCGAAATCCTGATGGGTACAGGCAGGATACCCGCGCTCCAAAGCGTTACATCCTGAAGCTTTTTGACTCTTAAAAGCAGCCACGCACTCCCGACTCCCTTCGCAACTCGCCGGTGTGCTTGCAGCTTGTTGTTTTTTCCGTGGGGTTCGTGTTTAGGTTTTCGCTACCATCGAAAGGAATGTTGAATGCAGCTACGCCCTTTCCAGTGCAGCCGAGCTGGCCGGGCAGAGGTAAAGATACCTCATCATCGGGCAGCTAGGGGAGTCGCACAGAGCGGTAGCCGCGGTGGTCTTCGGAATGGACAGATAGGGCGTTCTATATGCGGGCTTACTCAAAGGTGTCATGATGGGCTTCACAGCCATGACATTAAGCAGGTTTGCTGCTTAGGCCGTACGTGTCCGGTCCTCGGGTCACAGTCAGAGATCAGCAGCAGAAGCCTAAAGAGTCCCAAAACCATGATCAAGCCAGAAACCCTTTTAACATTACTGACGAGCCGCAGAAACAGGTGGAGGAAGGTCAAAGATACTGGACTGAAGTCTAGCCAGTCTGCGATCCGCAACTCCCCTAAACCCTAAACTCTAGATCCTAGAAGCCTGGGCGGCCGAGATGCGGCTGATTCTTGACTGCGAAGTCTGCACCGCAGACCTGTCTGAGGTGAGCCGTGCATCGACTGTTTGTTCGAGGCCTTTTAGATTTAGGGCTTCAGTCTCTCGCAACTCGGACTTCACCAAATGAGGTTTGATTTTAGGGTGGTTGGGGCTCCTCCAACAAGTCTTCAGGTTTGCAGAGGCGACGACAGAACCACAGAAGAACGAACTCAGGCTCTTCGGGTCTTTGAAATTAAGCGTGGGGCTTAAGGCTTGGGTCATGTGGCGTCGAGCTCGGGTTTACCACCAGACCAACGAAGCTGAAGCTGCGGTAGCTTCGCCGCTCTCTGTGTATCACAGGCTACTAGCTTACCTATAGTCTCCATTGTAGCTCCTTTTTTGGTTTATCCAATGTATACTGATGATCCATTAGGTAACCCCCGAACTACAATGGAGACTATAGATATACGCAGATATATCGCTATATAGTTATACAAGGGCAGTACCTTATCAGTTGCAAAGTGAACTCGCCGCAAGTTGAATCCATGGTTTGCTAAAGGCGCTCCAAGGCCCAGAAGAAACTATGCCGCTCCAGATCTAGAACCGAAAGACCGAGTAGGATCCGCAGAAATAAGGGTCAAACCAAGGGACACCTAATTACCTAATTCTAAGAATTCTAAGAACCCCTGATTTAGGGTTTCAGCACTCGCACTCGGACAAGCCTGGGCGGGGTTCCTGGTACATGACGAACAGCACATTGGCTGAAAGGTTAACGGTTTACGCTCTCGCAACTCGGGCAAGCCAGACGAGGTCTCAGGTTCGAAATGCTTTGACTGGTCGGTGTTACAGCTGACAAGCGGGTTTAGGGGCGGGTTTCGAGGCTACCTCCACACTGCAAGGTACACTATCCGAGCCGGCTCGTTCGATTGTCCAGCCCTTCCAGGCTTCCAGGGCTTGGAAAAGCCGGTCAACAAGTTGATCCTACGGGGTACTGAAGGGCTGACAGGTTGTTTAGTGCAATTAAGCAGAGGCACAATGATGCGGTTCTGACCAGCTATAACTTATTATTCTAGAAGCCTGCTTGTAGCTAAGAATAAACCTTCCAGCCGCAAGCTAATGCACTGGGCCTGGCCATCAGCGTCCCGCAGCCCCAGTATCAAGTGTGGGTTGCCTTCGCGCTCGGCGTAAACCTCGATGGGGCAGGAACATGTGGCACCCAAATTGTTAATGCCCAACGCCTTACGGTAGCTGGTCCGTCTGCTTTTGGATGCGGCCCACAAGCAAGTCTTGGATTCCCACATACAAATGTTTAACTTTTGAATACGTATATATATATATATATATATATCTACATATATATATATATATATACAAGAGTACATATACATACTTATATTTCGCGGAGTACTTGAAATGGAACCCAGTAGGGCCTGAAAAGATCACGGAGGAGAGTATATACAAAGCTGCAAGGTCTCCCGAGAACTTGGAGGGTTCCGAATCGTTCTTGCGAGGAGCTTTCAGGATTTACACAGAGACTTCACCAACAAACGTTAGTAACCGACAAGTCGAATGATCCGAAATGCCCCAGGTGAAGTTACATTCTTACATGTCACGCTACCCAAACAAGCCTTAAACCCTAAACCCTTAAACCCTAAACCCTAATTGCCCCAAATCCTGAGGCTCCTGCCAGAAGTCCCGCGAACCTTGGCCAACACAGCCATGACTGCGACCCTGTAGCTCGTGGAAATTATACTTTCAGAGTCTCGCCCCAACGAGAAAAACTTCAGAGTCTTGGCTTTACTCTAGTGGGGTGGGTTCGGGCGTTATTCTTTAAGGCTTTGGGTTCGGGTTCAAAGTTCAGAGTTGAGGGTGTAGGCGTTGTTCTCACTGAGCACAAACCAAAATCCGGGATCAAGTCGAAGAGAATATGCACAACAAAACACGACGTGGGAAGTAGTGACATGCAAAGCAACAAACAAAGGCACTACGTACAGCAACAAGAGTTCCATCAGCAATTGAGGCCCTCTCACCTTTGGAAACAATTAGTGCCAAGACCTCACTAACGACGTTGAAGACAAAGGTGCTTGTCTCTTACACTGCAGCAGAAACACGAGGTTCAGCTGACAGTATACACTGTCCTGGGCACGGAGAACAAAGGCAACTTTGCAAGGGGTTCGGGCAAGTCATCATCAGAAATAACGCGCTCAAGTGCTCAACCCAAGTCAATCCAACTAGGCTTGCAAGTGACCTCATAAGTATATAAAACGACGGACGACTTTCACTCTGACATGCACCTGCGACATAGAACGGACCCGGCGTTGCCGGCATCGACTCAGCTCCCGGACAGCTGCTCATGGCGCTCAGGCTAAGGAAGCCGAGCAGCACTCCTACTGCTAAGATGAAGATCCCACAGCAGGGGATGTCTGTTGTTCGCCTGCGCGTTTCTGATGGCCGGCTGCTGAACATCCCACCTTCAGGGCAGCATGCACTGGAACCTTCTGCAAATGCTTACTTCACGACTGCCAAAAATCACACATGCGTGCCCACACACCAATGCACTCTCACACTCATTTATAGACACACACACACAGATGCACACCGATGTTACAATCGCTAAACTATGCTAAACTCCGCAATCCCCGACTACAGTTTCAGCTTCACGATAGACCTGCACGCCACAGGAAGCAGACCCCCGCAAACTTGTCTTATTGCATGCATGATCGTGACGAAAGGGGGTTTCGGGGCTAGGGTTTTGTAAGAGATGGGCATGGAGACTTCAGTGAATGTTGGCAAGTGTGACGTCGGTGAGGATACAGGACGGGTTCCTGAAGCACTAGCCCCAGCAGTGCCGAAGGGCCCCTTTCGTGGCTTTCGCGCACTCGGGCAGCTTGCAGATTCTGGCCATGCGACTTACCGTTCTTCGAACCAAAACGGCTCAGGGTTACCGGACACATCCTGGCAATGGTCCCTTACAGTCCGTATATCATGAAACCAGATTGCCCGAAAAACGACCTTTCTAATTTTGCCACCCGCCCAGCTAAACAAAGTCGCAGCGCAGTGAACTCGTCTGAACTCAAGACTGGAAGAGGGTCCGAGGCAGGATGTGAACTCCGAGCAGAAAGCCCAGAAGCAAGATTCTAATGAACTTATGGTCGGGATTCCTTGCTGGAGAACCCTTGCCGAAGCTCCGGACGCATCACACTTGGCCGCTGCGTTTCGCAAGGCCTCTGCTTGGACCTGAAGGCACAAAAGGGTGCCGGCTCAGGAGTCTCTATGATTCATGGGAACCTTGCGATTTTGGGCTCTGCATCAAACGCCAGACATGCCTGGGCTTCGCATCCGCGGACGTCGCCCCGTAGTATAAACAGAAACATCCGAGCTGAGAGGCGGAGGTCTCTTTGGCTTACTTAATTAATCTCTTTACATGAACTCCCACGAAATCGGATCTCAGGCGCCGGCACACAGGGTGAGGTAGTCGAGATTCTGAGCGTGTACGGGCTTGCCGGTAATGAGGGTAGCAGGATTGGCGGTTTTCGCCCACAGCAAGAGCGCCAGCGGTTTCAGCAGCAGTGCTGCATAGCTGCTACGCGGGACAGTACTACATTGGCATACCAGTAGTCATACAAGTGCATACATATGGAGACGTATGTACATATATATATATATATATATATATAGATGTGTTTATTTAGACACACATGCACACAAACAGAGATATCCGGGTACATAAATGGAAATATGCGTTTCTAAAAAGTGTGTATGCATGTATGTCTGCTTGTGTGTACATATGCAGTCATGTCCATACGTATACAATGCGCGCCCACTGCAAAGAATAACGAACCGTACAATCTTGCTTAAGGACAATGCATCGCCTTGCAACGCCTGCCCCGACCTGAACCGAGATGCTTTAACTGCAGACCCTTCGAAAATCACACGCCCGTGAAAGGGTTTTCCGTGCTCATTAAGGTTTGCGTAGGACTTTATTGGTCATCAGTCATCAGGTTTTCGCAGAACTGGTGCGGCCGTCCTGCGCAGTCTGGACGCCCTGCACCAACACGAGGGCCTGATCCGGCGGGAAGCGCTTGGATTTTCTCAAAAGAGGAAGACGAAGACTGAAAGTCAAGGAGCAAAGGGCTCAAGCTGCTTGGAGTTCGAAGGGAAGAAACGCTTTTCAAGCAGGAAAATGCCCAGCAAGGTCCAGACACAAGTATTGTCGCTTAGGGCTTTCTCAAATATCTCAAATGCACTAGATTATGCGCCACCAAAACGACACATTCTAGTTATTGAGCTGGATTCTGATACTAGTAGTGGCAGCAAGAACGAGCCGCAAAAGCATGCATCTCTCCTCTCCCTCAGTCTCTCCGGGACTCCGTGTCGCTCTACACACATGGTGTTCGCCTAAACGCAGCCCTCCCTGCCCTTCCACATCTTATTAACTTCGGACCATAGAGCACCTGCCTCCCGTCAAAAATGTTTGTTCGATTGAAACCACGGGAACCTTCAACCTAAGCGCTTAACCACTTTTTTAAACCCGTACTGAGGCCGATGCGTGTGACGGGAGAGAGCGTTCTCCGAACAGCTCACAGCAACAAGGCAATTGCACGCTCTCTCTCTCTCTCTCTCTCCCTCTGTCTCCCTCTCTCTCCCTCTCTCTCCCTCTCTCTCGCTCTCTCTCTCTCTCTCTCTCTCTCTCTCTCTCTCTCTCTCTCTCTCTCTCTCTCTCTCTCTCTCTCTCTCTCTCTCTCTCTCTCTCTCTCTCTCTCTCTCTCTCTCTCTCTCCCAGGCATTCGAAACGTCAAGCCCGGTTGCAAGGCAAGGGCACTAAAACCTGAACCCCAGAGAACTACACTGGAAACCTCAAAAGCCCAACAACCGGCACCTTGAGGTGCGCCAGCCTCTCCGGATAGCCCTTGTCCTCGCATGGTTAAGCACGGCGGGTGTTTACTGTCGTGGTGTTTAAGCCTAGTATTCCGTATGTGTGTATGTAATGTATATAGATAGACGGACATACGTATTACGCACAGACGTAAATACATATACATATATATATATATATATACGCACATATTAACACATGCGCACACACACACACACATGCAGATGCACATGCACATAGACATAGACATACATGCACACAGAAAGCCTCGAGTGCTGGCGTGTCGGGCTGGGCCTTTGTTGCGATGAAGCTGCTAGCGCTTTCCACAAAAAGCGGGTGCCAAACAGTACTACTTTGCTGGCAAAGGATTCCGAGGTCAAAGCTTACTGCGGCAGGCAGCAGGTCTTGATTTTACAGCAGCCAGTCCAACTTCGAACGCATCTGAACCCAACTGCCAACCCCGTGCTAATACTGCAGTCGACCTCCAGGCGAAGTTGCAAAGCAGCTTGGTGTCGCCTGTCACGGGCAACAAATCAGTACGATCCCGATATTCTGCCGATAGAAAGGACAAGAAAAGTAAGAAGAGCAATGATAAGAACAAGGATCCTGCCAACAGCCCACCAGGATAGGCCTCAGGCTGCTTACTTCCGTCGCAGTGATATTGCACTGGCAGCACCAGCTATAGCTAAGCTTTATATAGAAGATGGGCCGACAAGTCAGTCATAGCTCTGTTTCATAACCTGAAATCGTGAAAAATCAATCCCGAAACCACTCTGAAGCCCTGCAACGGGGTCAACCACCTGGTGGCCATGGTGACAAGGCGCTGTTGGAGGCTTGCCTGGATATGCTCGTCTCGGAGGGTGTGTTTGAGGGCTTGAAAATGAAGGTTTAGGTTTCTTTAATGAGGCCTGAGAACCCGAAGTGCCGAATTCTGCGGGCTTGTACGGTTCATGTCGGCTTCGGGTTTAGCTGCGTTGGGCTCGTGAACCGACCCCTGGAGTTATGAGGATTCAGGTCTGATCTCAGTTTGGGTCAAACCTTTTGCATCCGGGCTTGGAAGTCGGCCGGGGGAAGTGACGAAAGACAGCACAGCAAGCCCCAAACAGACGAAGGTTTCGGTGTACGACGGACTTGGATGGAATCGCATGAAGGCATTCCTTTGCAGGCTTGATTTGGTGGATGGCTTCGACAGCGGAGGTCAAGGTACTTAGGGCCTAGACAGATGCTGCAGCCCTTCATTTGTGTAGCTATTCTATGTGTTTGTAGCATGCACCTCTTGTATCACAGCCAGCCCGCGTTACCGTGCGAGAGGCACATGTGGCCTTACATGATGTTAATCGAAATGATGTTCTTCGCAAAGCAGAACACCAGTGCCAAGCAACCCAGGTTCCACTCTACCTTCAGGATGGAAAAAATGTTGCAAGTTTTTATCATCAGAATCTACTTGTAAGTACGGTCCGGAAGCCTTCATCAGAACTCATCATCATCGGGACCTTGTTCCGATCAAGTAGGGCTTGGTTGGTCACGGCATCCTGTGGTTGATGGATGTTTACTGTTAACTCCTCCTAGACCCTACGAACTATATCCGGTAAACTCTATCTAAGCCCTAAACGTCCCCAGCAGGATCCTACACATCCCTTGACCCTAAACATCTGCTTTCCCTGAGCTGGTCTCAACCATCTCCAAGCCCTAAACATCTCCGTCCGAGGTCCTAACCATCCCAAAACCCTCCGTCCCTGATCTTGAACATCCCAAAACTGTCAGCATTTCTACGTTCCGAAACCCTGAGGAGCCACTTGGATGCCGACCCAGTTTCTCGGGAGCCGAAGACTCCAATGATGCCACAGCAAGACCTTAGCGCAGGATGCGGATATGTGAGACACCCCCTGCAGTCGAAATTCAGGGTCGCTGGTTCAACAGTTCGGCCTTACTGGTTGAGGGCTGTAGGGACCTTATGAAGAACCGCTAGCTTTGTTTAGGGGATCGCCACACGGATCCTACTATGCGGGCGAGATCCTACAACCAGGGCCAGGGCCGTTTTTCATGCGGTTTTTGCATTGTACAATCCGAAGGACTACATGGGGCGTCAATCGGGGTGCCTTCTAGACTACTCTAGCTTTCAGAAAATGATATGTGTAATTGCATGCACTGCTGGCCTTAGGCCAAGAATTCCCGTCCGCGGTTTTGTGGGAGACCTTGTTCATGTAAGTTTCGGGGTTTCGGGTACCCATTTCTAGATTCGCGGCGTTGAGCGTGATACTGTGTCATGACCGGTGCATGATTGCATGTGGTAGCCATCGCGTCGGGCTAGATCAGAGATAGGTAGGGCCGGTTGTCCAGCACCGACACACCTCCAAGCACCAGACAAATGTCATCAGCACAAAGGCGGCTACCTGCAACTCACTTCACTCCGGATGCTTCGGCAGATTCATGTGGACAATCATCTCGAATGTATAGCCACGCCGGCAGCACGACAAGGTGTTCAGCTATGTTCGGCTACCGGGTGGTCTCAGTGCTGATGCTCAGCCAGCATGAAAGAGTGGTCATATGTCAGCATGTAAATCCAACCGATTGCTAGGAGACGGTAAGAGGCCGAAACTAAAAACCATACAAAGCTGCTCTGACTCGGAAAGGTGCAGGAAGACCTGCCTCTGGCGCCAGCCACATCCCTCTCCCCTGGCAATGCTGCAGGCACGGAGGCGACGAGCACAAAATTGCTTGTGGCCATTCGGCGATGGAGGTTTGTCTAGAGGCAAAAGATGTACTGTGAGTGTGCAAAGTCTGTCTATTATCTCTCTCTCTCTCTCTCTCTCTCTCGCTATCTCTCTCTGTCTGTCCACACACACACACACATATATATATATATATATATATGTATATAGACATCTACATATAAGTGCGCAAGTTTGACACGAGCAGAAATATTACATATATACATGTGTATATATATATATATACATATTACATAACAGGCGTCATACATGTTGGTATTAGTATATGCATGTGCATGTATATCTTTTTTCGAAACATGCTTACGAATACTGCATGATCTTCTATCTACGGTAGGCAAGGTATGCA